GAGCCATAGAGCCATACCGGCTAAACCCAAGCCCGACGCAACCCAGCATCATCCTCGTTTCGTAGCTCCAAAACTATATCGAATGCTAACAACTGGAGCCAAATCTTTGCATGCGTGGGCCAAGAACGACAACTATCATGACGACGACAACGTTTCACGACGACGACTTCTATATCATAAAACAAAACAAAAAAATAACAAAAAAAAAATAAAGAATCCAGAGGGAAAATGAAGGAAAGGAGAAGAAAGGGGATGAAGTAAGGTTTTCTCAGAGAGTAGCGATTAAGTTTTCTGAAAGAAAAAAAACTTGGTTGTAGAAAAGAATAATGTACGATTTTGTGGTGTTGTAAGCTTAAAAAGGCATTTTGTACATCAAATCATTTGGTAGTGTTTATTTGGACCCATTTAAGACGGTGGAAGAGTACTTTTAGGCCCCGTTTGGTTCACGGAATGGATTTGAGGGGAAATCAATTCCCATGTCATTTCCCAAGGAATGGGAATGAAAGATTCATTTCCCGCGTTTGGTAATATTGGGAAAGTAACCGGGAGATTTCACTTTGTTTCCTTTCCCATGTTTGTTTTGAGTAGGAATGGAAAACTAAATTTGTATAATTTTCCAATTATAACCATATTAAATCAAATAAAAAAAGAATGTATTTAATGATACGTTGTAATTATAAATTGTTCATAGGGACAAAATAGTCATGAAAATTGTGCATTGAATGTTGGCTCATTTTCCCAAACTTTCCCATGAAGAGGGAAAACAAAACCCAAGTTAAGAGGGGGGGCTTCACTTTCCCCCCTACTTTCTCATGTGCCAGGAATCCGTTTCCCATGCCTGGACTTCCCAAACATGGGAAAGCAATTGAATTCCCATTCCCAAGCCTCCTTTCCCATGAACCAAACGGCCCCTTAGTAGCGAGGAGAGACAAAAGCTGGTGTATTTTTAGATTTTTTATTTTATTTTTATATAAGTGATATTGGGAGAGGAAGGAATCGAATATATGACCTTTTTTTGAGTTTGAAACATAGGACCTTAGACACATGGATAAAACCACTTGACCTCGAATGCAAGGATATGAAAAAATAAAATTTGTAGCTAAATACAAACGTTCCTCCCCCTGGATAGAAGTAAATAAACTGAAATTAATTTTATTTCCCACATGATGAAAAAAAGTAAGTGGTCTCGAGAAGAAAATATCATATTTAACCGCTATACATTGCTAACATCAGGAAATGGAATAGTTGGCAATCTCCAGTAAAAATAATTAAAAAAAAATCCCTTTATAATCCTTTGTCAGTTGCATTAATGGATCATCGAATTGGAAAGGTATGGAACTTTGAGATAATAAATAAATGAAGTTAAGGAGCTTTGAGATAAAATAGTAATTTCACACTCTTTTCATTTACCGCTGCTATTTGTATAGTTGACTAACAAGTGGTTAATAAATGTGGTATAAATAATATTAAAATTTGGATTCTATACTCTGATTTTCTCATTTATGATCTACTTGACTTTTGTGCACTTCTCCCCTTCCCCCAAAATCTGGAGAAACACTTGCATGCACCGGGGATAGGACTGTTGTCCTATCCCCCTCCAATCACAGTCCGACACGTGCCCATTTTCTGACAAAGTTGGACACGTGGCAGGCTGCGATTGGAGGGGGATAGGACTGTTGTCCTATCCCGGTGCAGGCAAGTTTTTTCCCAAAATCTGAGTAATCCATCTTTTCTTCCCCTGTCAAAAAAGAAAAAATATCTTCCCATATATCCATTGCAGATGGCGAGGGGGTTCCAAAAAAGGGATTCCTTTGCCATCCATGTGGATTTCATGGCTGATGCTCCTTGCGGACCTGGTTATCATACCAACAGTTTGAACAACACAAAGCTATGGACGTGGTTACAATTTAAATAAAAGCATGATTTGTGGCCTATTCTAAACAAATGAGCTTTTGGTTGTTACCTAATAATAATAATAATAAAGTCAACTACTGTTTTGTCTAAAAATGTTTTAAAATGTAGTATTGATTTGTATTGTTTACATAATATAAAAGATTGTAGGGTATCGAGAACAAATTGTTTAGGGATAGACTTCATGAATTAAATAAAGTTTACCACTAGCTGCTGACTATATAGGCTTGTATATTTATGTACAAAAGGATCCTGCTGAGGAAGATACTTAAGAAAGTATTAGATAATTTAACCATTTAATTATTATCGTGAATATGTTAACTTCTTTGATTATAGAAAGTATTTTGTTCTTTTATTTATTCTTTTATAGGTAGATATGACTAAATGTTATCTTAAGAATGAATAGTTTGAATTCAAAAGAGTGATTAAAATGTATTTACTAACCAATTAGCGCTTGAACACTTCTGCTAAACATGAATCCTTCAATTACTACACGTCTTCGCATATTTTCTATTTAACAAACAAAGTCTTCGCAGATTTCTTTATCTCATGGTGCAAATAAATAAACCATCTGGAACTGCGATTGACAATTGGCGGGCATGCATATTGGCATTCAAACGAACTAAGCGCGTGCGATTAAATTAGTGACTAAATTAAAGTGATGGTTCACCAACTACGCAAGATTGGCTCTACTTTTTTTTGGCTGTTCCTACTAGGAACTTCCTAGCTAGTGACTATATCGAAAATTAAAAATGAGTATTTCCTTATATTATTATAGTAAGAAGAGATAACATAACAATATATAAAAAATCTTTCAATAGACTTTTTTATAAATCAATTCCTTTTTGCTTTCTCTTTCTTCCGTTATATGTTTCGTCTTTATCCTTATATTTCAATTTCTCTTTTTTCAACACTTCGCCATAGGTCCATTTATCATTCTTAATTAAAATTTGGTTTATAGCACAAGTAGAAAACTAAAAATAGCTCAGTTAGTTGAGCTCTTCCACCTTCAGTCATTGGCCAATGAATATTTGTGTAAACCTTCCTCCCCCACTCCAAAAAAGAAAAAAAAAAAGAAAAAAGAGAGTTATGGTGAATATAGGGGAGGAGCATGAAGGGGGAGAATGAAAGAGAGATGGAAATGGAAGATGATTTTGTTCTGTGGCCTGCCAAATAATTAAGTGAAGAGAATTAGCAAAGAACAAATGATGCCTGCATATTTCCTTAAGAACAAAGTCAAATTTTCCTTTAGCTGAAGAAGAGCAAGTTAGGATCCAAATTTCTAGTCTTTTAATACAAGTAATGTCATCCCAACCCTTCCTGGAAAAAATATTGGAGTTTCGGACAGTTGGTCCTCCACGTGAATGTACTGATTAAAAAAATAAAAATAAAATTTTGGTACATGTTCTCATTACAAAAAATAAAAGAAGTTTCTTAATTGTACCGTCATTGATTTTGAGAGCCATAATTTCCGGTCTATATCGCGTAAAACACTGACCAGGTAATTACTAGCTAGGATAATGTTTTTGACATAAAAAGTTGTAATAACGTTGTCACGATCCTGGTAGTCACCTACTTTACCCATGATTTTATATAAAATTAGAATTTCAAATGCCTTGCGGTGGATAGAAATAGGTAGGGCAATTTTCCCCATTCCTGCGGGAACCCTCCTTAATGGGGAGGAGATAGGTCCCCACTCCGTACCCACCCTTACAATCATTAGAGCTCATAGATGAAAACAAACAAAAAATTAGGTATTATACATATTTTCCAGTTGAGTTTGAAGTTCTGAAGTGTTGTTGTCTTTGAATTTTAATTATTGTAGCGTAATTGCACGATTATATTCTATATTATATAATATGGAAAAAGAGGGCAAAGGGCTGCTACGTTCAAAGTTAGAACTGGACTAGAAATGGACATGTGTTAAACTTAGAATGAAAATATCACTAGCTGAACCACAAGGTGTGGTGCGATTGGTAAACTGCCACCTCCAACTGGCGAGCTACCTGATGCCTCAATGGCAGAGGTTCGAAACCCGTTGGAAGCACTTTATGGCCAGGAACAAGCCGAACCCCTAGCGGGGATTAATCCCACCCTTCGGATGTGGGGACACCTCGTGGTATTTATCACAACAACAAAAAAAATCACTAGCTGATGTCACAATAATTTATTGTCAAAATGAGTTGCTAAATTCTAGCAGTTGTTTTAATCCAAATGTGAAAGTTCTAACTTCACAAGTAATCAAACATTATCTTGATCCCTTTTTTTCAATCCAAGGGTGGAAAGTCTAGCTTCACAAGTAATTAACAAATACACATCAACATTTTACAAAAACAAGAAATTCAATGAACAAATTGGTTAATCAATGGGGTGTTAGTTGGATTGGCCCAGGTCTTTAGTGTGCTACCAATAGAGACTTCATAAGGGACCATTTGAGCTGCATATCGTAATGCTCCTAGAAAGGCATATTTCGAATATAGAGGAGTGAAAGTTCCCAACAATCAACGAGTTGATCTAAAACCGGAAGGGCGAGCCAAAAAGTAGGTAGAGTATGCCACTTCGCTTGCCCTTTCTCCTTCCTCTGCAATAGGAAGTGAAAGAACTGTCTGCCATTTCTTAGGTTAGGCTGCTGTGTGATGCTTACTCCATCTCAACGGATAAGCTCAGTTGGCTTACTAATAGAAAGATGAACCCCTTGTGAGGCTATTATAGCACGCCACCCGTGCATTAAGATGATTTCACGCAGAGGTTATGGGTTCAAATCCCCATGATACCCATGTGTGTGAGTTTTTCTCACTCTCCTTTCATAACTTTGGGGAAAAGAAAAAAAATGGTATTGGTTAAGGTGGCGTATAAAGTCAATTTTATCAAATTGGATCTGATCTTATTATTTTTTAAATCCCTTCGGAATTGTAAAGTAATTGTTCTTTGGTTACACGTAACAAACAATGACATTATTTTGAAAGCGATATATGAGAAATTGGATAGCAACTGTTCCACACGCAGTTGACTAAAACTGTCTAATACTCTGTAAAATGTACAGTAAATCTGACATTCTACCACGTACGAGTTTATAAATACTACCGTCGGAGACAAGGCAATTCGGTTGGCACAACCCCATCTTTCTTTTCCCCTCATCTTTTTGAAGCAAAACCTCCTCCTTTGCTATCAATAATGGACATTTTCGACCATCATTATAACAGAAAATAAGGCTAGTAACCCTCAGTTTTTGCGGCAAAACTCACCACAAATGCCTCCTTCAAAAGACGATTTGAACAAGAGTTTCATAGAGTTGGGTTCCATCAACAAACGACAAGAGAAAACAGTACGATATTTTGAAGAAACAACGATAAGGTTGGTGATCGCTTATGTTTTCACCCAAACCCTCATATATTTTTCCATTTCCCTGCAAAACCCAGCTAGCAGCATCTCCTGCCAACATTGGTGGATCCCATTCTGCCTCTCCTCTCTGATTGCTGTGCTCTTTGGCATAGGCTTTAAAAGATTCGTCACTAAATGGGAGCGTACGTCGTATCATTATGACATGAACTTCTTGGAGAGAGAATTGATTTACCATAGAATTGTGCTGCTCCAGGAATCACAAGGTCGCTCTTCTGATCAAGCCACCACATATGATGAGGAGCAGCCAAAGGTATTGCAGTGCGATATGGTGAGGGTTTATCAGAGAAACGCAAGTATTTACCTGATTTCTTTAAGCCTTCTGGCCTATACGGTTCTGATCTTAAAGGCTTGCCAATCCATTCACTGTCATCGCTGATAGCGCAATCGAATCAAGTCACACAGGGTACGTACGTTCTTTTTAGTCCCGAAAATTAATTTAGTTTCATGCCATGATAATATGTTTTTTTTTAAAAAAAAAATTAAAAAAAGACCTCTAATTCATCAGCATTAACTTTTAGATTCTGCGTCAAATTATGTATTGCACTAATCACTCTCTATGTATTCTTTAGTTTGAGGGTGCTATAAATACACCCTCCCCCGTGAGGCATGGCAGTGCACGTCTAACTGATCTTCAAGGAGTATCTGCTGAGAAGTTGCTTCTGAAAAAGAAGATGCGGAAAAGATGTTGTGGAGAAGTTCACATATGGTGCTTGTGAATATTATGCTAAAACCTTTCTTCAAAACTAGGAATTAATATTAGTAATTTTTTGAAGAGGACGACTTCAACCTCCTCCGTAACGTTGTCTACCTGTCCTCCATATTTCTATGTTTTTTTTTTTTTTCATTTGCATCTTATTTATATGCTTTCTTAAGTTGATATATGGTGTTGTGTACGTGTATATAAGGGGATACTCTATATTTATACAAATATGTCCCTTTGAACATATCTTTTGAAGAGAAGAAATCTTTGATTTGTGCACGGATCTGGAATTGAAGCTTGAACAATAATTTGGACTAAATATGGAACAGTATTTGGATCTGGAAAACCGAAATTGGTACTTGGGAACAACGAACTGAAATTGAAACTGCACTTGATTTGGCACTACATCTAAAACTAATACTCTAACAAATGAATACCCCAAAGATTTTTTTTTATTTTTTGGGGTCAGAGTAGCAATTCATTGCAAACCCACAAAAAGACAAGGAACACTACAAGCAAAGCCGGCCATAAACATCCGCAAAGGAAAGCATCCTAAATAATACCCCAAAGTTTCAAAACGAGTGGCAGACTTTGCATATAATTTAATATGAAGCATAGTCTGGCTGGTTAATTATAAAATTCAATTAGAGAAAAAGTTTTGCTTTAACGGATATTTCAAATTTGATAATTCTTTATAAATGAGATTCGAAATTGATGATTCTATACAAATTTGATCTACTAAGCTCCACACGTGCTACATTCCTGGCCAAGCCCCCTCGATCAGAAAGAATTTATCTTCCTATCATTTAACGGATTTCTTGATGGTCAGCCAAATGCCAGAATTATCTTTGCCACATTCAAAAGGTATAATTATTTGGTGTCTAGACTACTCAAGACTCAACTCAGCTCTCTCTTGAACTGATTGCCCTCTCTCTCTTCCTCCCTTGGTAAGTTCAACCTCTTGGACACAATAGCTCCCAGCTACTCTTTGAGATTAACCACACCCTTTTGTCTTGCATCTTCACTTTCTTTTGTAGGCAGACCTTTGGACTTTGTAGAGGGCTACAATTACTCCTTCACGTTCTTGCTTTCAGCTACCCACCTAAACACAAGGTTAAGCAACCCAGAAAACAAGCCATAAAGCATGCACCCTTTGTCCCCTTATCTTCCACCTAGAAAATCCTTTGGTACAAGACAACAAACAACATTTAAATGGTGTTCCAGCTTCTAAGGCACGTTGCCAAACTTCCTAGAACCCATAAAACTCTTTGGAGGCACTTGGAGTTAGGTAGGGAACAAGCACATGTGAAAGGCACCTTGAAAAACGCATGGAAAAACGACACAGCACGTCTGGCGCCCGGTCGCCAAACGACCGGTCGCAACTACCTGGCGACCGGTCGCTTGCCTCGAATTCCAGCTTCTTCTTCAGACCTCGAATCTGCTTCAAAACGACCGGTCGCAAATACCCAGCGACCATTCGCCTCCTCCTTCACTTGCATACTAAATGTGAGCCAATTTTACAACAACACTAACATAAATAACGAAACAAAAACCCTCCCGAGAGACTAAAAAACCAACTTAAAACCTAAACAAAGACTAAAAGGGAGACCAACAAACATTCATCAATCTCATAGAGAATTGCTCTTATTACAACTAAAACAACAAACAAAACATAAACACCCTATCACCACCATCCCTCGGATCATGCATGCACCAAACCAAGGGAGGACATAGACGAATAGATTTGCACAGATCTGACATAGATCCACTGCAACAATCCATCACCACGTCGTCACCAAGATAGCCAAGCAGCTACGTACCAAACTCAACCAAGACGGAGGGGCTAGAGGGGATGGGCAAGGAGCAGTGGTGGAGAAGGAAGGGGAGGTGGGGAGGGATGGAGGCCACTTTGTTAAAGGGGGACGGCGGCTAAACCTTTTCTCTTTTCTCTTTTACGGGCTTTCAAAATCTACAAAAATTAGTTGGATGTAAATTTTTTTCATTCAGATCCCTTTGTATATCTTTATAAGTTGTAGTTAAGTTTCGTTATCAAGTGTTTTTCACTTTGGGATAAAAGACATTACTCAAACCAAATAAAAGCATCATAATACACCAAATAAAAATCATTTTTTTTCTTCTTATAGATAGTAAATAGGTTTTATGGTTTAGCCATCTCAAAACCTTACAGCCAACTTCTAAAGTAAATCTAGTCCACCTCATATTAAAATCTTGCATCCATTCCTGTTCTTATGAAAACAATCTCAAATGAGCCGAAAGACAATATGAGCGGATTCTTAACAATAAGATAGGCTGCGTGAATACGATCACGATTTGCGAGAACAAACTATTGTCTATATGTGTTTGTATATATGCATAAGAGAAGAACTAACGAATACTGAACTTGAGAGTCGAGACTCGAGAGTACCTACCTTTCGCATGTTTTGGTGATTCAATGCAAGCATATGTTTCTATTTGGGTCAACTTTATGATACACACTTGGTTTGGGCCTAGACTGGACTCTCATTTGGGCCTCTATCTAATTAGATATAGTTTCCGATTTCAATTGTTGTAATTTTCATCTCGGCGAAATTCTATAGGGAGGTTGTTATATATGGACCCCTCATTTGGATTTTCATATTAGTCACATGATCATTTCATTAAACTTAAGTTAAATTATTATTCAGATAAATTCTGTGGCTAATATGAAAGTTCACATCTGTAGTTCATATATAACATCATCACTATAAAACGACTCTTTCATCTGGTTAGTTTCTGCTGACATGAGACGGTCACACCTCTTGCATTTTCAGCTTTTTTTAAATAATATTTTATGTTGTTGCTTTATTTTGCAATTTCCCTTTCCTCTGATTCCTTTGTATGTTCCCTTTCTCTTACACTCCTTTTTTTTTTCTTTGGAAGCGAAAGGCCCAACAGGCAAGGAAAGGAAACATACAGTCAACAACAGAACTTTACTCGCTGATTGGCCGGTTTTCCATCAGCAAAATCATATTCAAAAGTCAAATTCATCAACTTGTATTGTATTATCAGAATTAGTTTAAAAAAACTATATAAAGGTAAATCAATTGGTTAAAGAGCTACTCAAGCTACTCACGCAATCTATATATTATATTTATTACTCACGCAATCTATAAATATTTGTTTATGTTATTGTGGATCGATCCACTGTCAAGGGAGAAGTTGATAGTATCTTTGGATCGATCCACTGTACCCTAATCAATTTAATTTCAAATTTTTCATGTACTAGAGTACCCTTGTGAACGTAGAATCCACATAATTTTTATTTGTTATGCGTCAGTATAAGTACATGGAAAGTTAAAATTTTGAATAATTTCAAAGATAAAAATAGAAAAGAAGAAAAATCCAAACTTCTCTTCTATTTATTATTAAGACACAACTCTTTTGTTCTATTTTTTTGGCAAGGGGCTTGCTAAAGTTATTAATAGAGTTATGTGTGCACCAGAGATCCTCTGTCTATTTGTTTTGGCCTTTTTTCCTAAATATAATAATAAAAAATTAGCGTTTTCAGCTAAAACTTCATTGGCTTTTACAAAATTACCCCCTTCATGTTTCTATATATATATATGATTGTAGTAGGTCAACTTTTGCGGCATACATAACGACTGTTTAACCGCGATTTCCATTTTCTCTCCCAGTGTTCATCTGTACAACAAGCTCCACTATGTGGCCTGAGTACTTGATCTTATACCTGGTTATTATTTCGTTTTGCACTACTCTTGCTCTTGCTTTGATGTTCAAGTCCTCCATGGTTTTCTTCAAAAAACGGGTCCTCCTCCTTAGCAATTTGCTTGATTTGCCTATCGAGTTTCATGTGATCCTCTTCCCAACTGATTATGTACAAAAGGTCTTCATGGTTAGTCCTGGATTCTACAAGGAAATAGGTGCAGCGGAGTTTACTGGATTCCACGACAACAACCCTCACAGGCCTGCCATAATTTCGATTTTCGTTGATGGCTCTAAGATTGATGGCTTCTGCTTCAACTCCCGTGATTTGATCACGTATGAGAAGATAGTGGTTGGCCAAGATCAAGAAGGCAAGGGACGGATCGTTATCACCGGCGTCAAGGCCCTGTGCACTCATCAAGCCCTTATCAAGTATGCTCCTCATCTCTTTCCTATGAATTTTCTGTTCTGTTTTGCTCCTAGTCTGTATATATCTAAGATAACCCTTTTATTGTTTTGGGTGGTTCTGTTTAAACCTCTAATTTGATCATCATATTCCTCTACAAAGAATTTGATAGTGAAAAACACAATTTTTCCTTTGGTGATCACTTTTCTTATGTTTGCAAATAATATATATTTTTTCAAGCTCATGTAAAATAAAAGAAGCAAAAAGATGAGAAGGTTTACTTTTTTTTTTTGCTTTTTCTTTTGAACATAATTTCCTTATTTTAACTGCTTTATAAGTGTAAAATTGGCTTGTAAAATTTTCAACAAAAGAGGAGGGTAATAATGAGAAATTAAGAGTCAAAGTAGAATCATCTTTTTGTTCTGATTTTGTGAAATGAGTAAGACAGTCCAGTAACTTATTTTTTTTACGAATTGATTTCAGGGACTATGGCTGGCTTTTTCGAGGAAAGTATGATGAAAAGAAGGAAGAGGTAATTGTAGCTGGTTTGCAAATTAAAAAAGGTGATACATTCAGTTCTTAGAATTAGATCAAGTGGTGATAGTGGACAAAGATAAGTAAAGGGTTAAATTCCCTTTCATGTATATAAAACAAATAACGTGATGATTCATGTATGTGGAACACATATGTAACATTTAAATTATTTGCTATATACTCAAAGGGTGTAAAGTATTATATGGGGAAATCAAATTAAGAAAAGTTTTAACAATCAAAAAATCTCTCTAGGATACTGACGTTTCTCTAGGGTTCTAGAAGAGTCAAAACTCAAACACTACAGGCGGCCGTGACGACATCGGAGTGCATGCCCTGGTCGGATCTGATCCAGGGGGTAGAATTCCTTCGCCAGCGATTATCAGAACGGTTGGAACTACAGGCGGCCGTGACGACATCGGAGTGCATGCCCTGGTCGGATCTGATCCAGGGGGTAGAATTCCTTCGCCAGCGATTATCAGAACGGTTGGACTTTTCAACCAAAGTCCTCAAGCAGATGGAGGCTATCTCTTCGTCCTTTTCGCAACATTTTGCTCTTACAGATGATGAGCAACATGAAATAGTAGTAGATTCCAAGGAGAACATTGGTGTTAAAACCAATAAATTCCTTCTGGTGGGAACAGTACTTTCAGACAAACCAGTGAATAAGGAAGCGCTACGCAGAACCTTTTACACGATCTGGAAGCCAAAAGCTCGAGTCACAATAGTAACATAACAGATTCTAAAACAAATATTCTAAATCCTGAAATGAAATGAAAATGTTCGATTATTATAGTAGTAATGCAGTTTATCCAAAGCGTAGACAAACGAGATTCAAGTTAAACATTGGTTTTTTTTTTATTTTTTATAACAATTTAATTAGGGTTAAATACTTTTTCGGTCATTGAGTTTTCCATGAAAATTCAATTTGGTCACTAAGAAATTTTTTTAGCTAAATTGGTCACTCTGTTTCCCAAAGTTTACAATTTATAGACATTCATTAAGTGCAGTATCTAATTTTATTTTTTAGGAAGTACCTTCAATCTTCTTCCTCTAACTCAACAAGTTATGGTATATTGTGCTATTAGGGTTTAACAATTGGGGGAAATCTTGGGTTGAAATTGAAATTGTGAGGTATTAAGGAAAATCAAAAAGCCAAACCAAATAAAAATGAAATTAACAACTTACCAATATATTGTGGTGCTCTATCACCTTGATTACATCTCCTTGTCATTTGAAATCACAATACGGTTCTCACTCAATTGATTTAGGCTTCAATATAGCATCCAATATGTAACCTTATAACTCACAATTTTGATTTCAACCCAAGATTTCTCTCAATTTGTTAAACCCTAATAGCACAATATACCCTAACTTGTTTAGAGGAAGAAGACTGAACGTGCTTCCTAGAAAAGTAAAAATAAAAAACTGCACTTAATAACAGAAGATAACGAAATGTCTATAAATTGTAAATGGGAAACACAGTGATCAATTTGGCTAAAAAAATTTCTCATTGATCAAATTGAATTTTCGTGTTAAACTCAGTGACCAAAAAGGTATTTAACCCATTTAATTATGCAGTGTGGCTTGGCATTAACCATGCAAGCTTAGATCCTCTTATCCTATTCTAGAAGGGTTTAGTTCTATAAATTGGGACTGACTCTTTTCAATATAGTTAGTAAGACTGATAATTAGTATAAAATACATGTGTATTATTAAATCTCTTATAAATATACAGTGAAAATTTTGGCCACTATCTATACGACAACCTATGATTTCCGGAATTTTTCTGGAGTTTTTTTGTTTTAACAATACAAATGCACGCGTATTAACTAACTACGTACTTAATGGCGACTACTCGTCAGCAAAGGCAGTGTCGGCCACCCTTTTAAAATGTTTATATTATCCTCATTCATTTCATTATATGATCAACGCCTAGAAGATTGGGGGACAAATGGCCGTCATCATGCTTACGTATAGAGGTCCATTTGTGCGTAAGTCCACAATAATATCAATTTGGCTAACAATTTTTCAATTAAAAAAAATTGGCTTACAATTAAATGGATTTATGTAGTGGGGAATTCATGAATTTTTCATGGGAGGGAAAAATTTAAAAGGCTAAGATTTAGACAACCAATATTATAGCCTATATAATATATCAAGGAAAATATTTCCCTCTTTACCAGGTAAGTAGGAGCTCTTACATTTTTGCCAATAGCAGTGTGATATGTGTAAAGAAGTTTTTCTTTTTCTGTTTTTGATGAATTATTTTGCATATGTGTCAAAATGTGATTCGCAAGAAGGAGGAATATCTCCTTACCGGTAAGGAGGCAGGTAGTATCCATATATCAATTCATATAAACAAAATCCATATCAACTACACAATTAATCTAAACAAAATCTTTTTAAACGCTTTATAATCCTAATTGAATACACCCCCCTAGTTTACCGAAATTCACATCATGAATTAATCTAAACAAAATCAATATCAACTAATCTAATCAAAATGCATATCAAATTATCAATTAAATAAATAAATCATAATTAAACAAATATATCAGGAAAAAAAAACTAGAAGAAAAAAAGTGGCGGTTGATGAAAAAGAAAAAAATAACCAGATTTTGACTGCGATGTGAAGCGCTTTTAAAGCGAACAAGAAGCATAACTATTATCATTGTCAAAATTTCAATTTAAATAATTAGGTTATTTTTGTCATTTCATTAGTTTCGTTAAGATCATTAGTTGACTGCTAGGCAAAGGTGTAATTGTATAATTCTAAAAAAAAAAAAAATCAAGTTTTATAATTTTAATTTTTTATCAAATGTCAAGCAGCAGACCTTAAAAGTGGATGTTATGTTTGAGAAATTGGTTGGCCTTCTAGAAGTTTGCAGTTGGACGGCTCGTTCCTAGCCACATGGCCATTTGAGGGCGGATACTTGTGAGCTAGTCAACAATCCCTAGTTGGATTGTTTCCTCGGTACAACTAGGAGTGCCATATATACATATATATTATATCTCATATGTTGTATACTTAGTTACATATCTATACATATAAAACTATTGATTTGTTCTTGTTTCTCAATGAGGATACTTCCTCGCTGGTCGTGCCATTGGGCACGTATTTCGAGAGTTTATATTGAGAAATTATAAGGAAAGGTTTGGATGGGTTGATTTGTAAGTTTCACTGTGAATTTCATATTTAGCTCTGGTTTTGAGCAAACTTTATATATATATGGCTATGATGGTTTTTAATGCATTGGTTTTATGCATGGTTTTATAAATGGTGGGGTTATATTACTTTGATTTAATTGGAACTAAACTTTGTTTTGTCCACTCACAATTTTCTGTTTTGCGCCCCACAGACTGTAATTGACTGTGCTGAGCAGCCGAGCCGAGCCCTGAGTACTGAATCTCGAGCTTCTGTAGGATAAGTTGGTTTCGTTTATGTTAAACTTCGTTTCCGTTGTAAATTTTGAATTCTATTAGATATGCACTGTTATTGCCCTGTTAGGGTTTGTTTTGTGAGGCCGGAGGCCATGGGTTGTAAACACTATATCTTGTATAATGCATGCTGGCTGTTGGGTTGTAAATTGTTGTGTTTTTAATAG